GCATGCTCCACTCCCATCTAGACAGAGAGCTGGAGAGCTGGGGCTCAAACCGCCATGACTACCAAGGTCTGAGCACCCTGGGAGGGGGCGGGGGCCCACCCTGGGAAGAAGGTCCCCAGGGCCAGGCTTCAGTGCTGTGGCCCTAGCCCTCGTGCAGTGCTGAGTCTAGCCTGGGCCATTGCTTTGTTAAATGAGCAACTGAACGAGTAAAATACATTTCTATCGACTAAGCACCTGCTATTAAATACGCCCTTGATAACCCAGTCCTACCGGTCAATATGTATTATCCTATAATGAATGCAGCAGCCTCGTGACGTCAGAATTACTCTTGCTCTTTCCAGAGGAAGTACATGGAGCCTGGGGCGGTTTGACACCGGGTGCTATGGGGCTCGGACCTGCGGCTGTTGGCGAGGAGATCCCTGTCACCTGTGTGTACCTGGCTCCCGCCAGCACCCTCTGCATTGTCTGCTGCAAGCTGAGAAAACCTTCACTTTACACCTCTCTGCCCCTCTGGGGAGCCACCTGCCCCTGGCTTCCTTGGACCTCACTTCGAGTCCTGTGGCTATGGAGTGAGAAGGGGTGGCACAGGCACTCCTCCTTGGGGCCTGATCTAGAGGGAGCCCACAGGAGGGAGGGAGAAGTGTTGGGGGCAGCACACCTGGACGGCAGCCCTGGGAAGCTCCTAGAATATTTGGTTCCTAGTTAGTGCAGAAGCCCCTGGCTGTGCCCACAGCAGAGGGGATTGGAAAGAGCGCGAGGCTCAGAATCAGGCCAGGGAGCTACCTCTGAAAGCCGCCTCCCATTCCTCATCCTCCCCCTACTCCGTCCACAAGGGAAGCTGTGAGGGACACAGGTCAAGAGCCAGGACCAGACTAGACAGAGGACGGATTCAGCAAATGGAGGTGTTTGCAACAAGTGCCTGCTGGGGTCTGGCTGCGGCTGCCCAAGCCGAGACCTGGACCCCCAGGGAGGGGAGGGCCTTGGGCCATGCAGGTGGAACCCCCCTACCTCTGCCTGGGAGAAGGAGCAGGACCCTTCTAAGAGCGGGCAGAGAAAGCCTGCTGGGCTGAGGATGCGGTGAGGAGGTGCCATCCGGAAACAACCCCTCCCCCAGGCACCAGCTCAGCCAGTGTCTGAACCCTGAACCTGCCAGCCTTCAGAAGAGCGAGTCAGGTCCGCGTTGATGGTGGCTTGGTCACAGCAGTCACCAAAGAGGCCTTGGGGTTTGGAAGCAGGCAATGGGGGAGGAAGGCTGTGTCCACTGTGGTGGCAGGAATGGCACCGGCCGTGGGGAGAGTGGAGTGGCAGTCTGTAGAGCGTAGGGTCACTGCCCACCAAGTGCCCGCTTCCCTAATTTCTAATCCCCAGACGGGGGCAGTAGAGCCAAGTGGGAAGGGCAGGGGTGCAGGCCAGTTGCCCTTGGCCTTGGCTCCTGGATGACCTAGCTGACCCCGTCCTCAATAAAAACCTCCTGGCACCTCAGTTTCTCCGTCTGTCAATGGGACGTCTGTCTTGGGGCTGTCGTGAAGATTAAGCAGCTGGCACCTAGTGACTTACGCGGTCAATGTCATGGCCATCACCACCACGGAGCCCAGTTAATCCAGGGCTGGGGTCCCTGGAGTCCTGGGGATGCTTTGGTCCCTTTCCTGGGCGTGCAGGGGAGGGAGAAGGGAGGTGATGCCCCACAGTGACCTGGGACTGCCCAGAACCCCGGAGCCTGCCCCCTCCCAAGCCTCCTGCCTGCATCCGGCTCCTGTGCTCAGGGAAGCCCTTGCTGGCCTCGGTGCTCAGGGTCCCTCAGTGCCTCGTGGGCCCAGCAGCTGCAGTGTACAAGGGGCACTGTTGCTCCACCTGTCTCTCCTAGGAAGTCACCAGAGCTGATGTGGGCAAATCCTCAGGTGCTCGGTTATAGCATAGCCTCCTGCCCTTGCCCTTGAGAGTTGAGATTCAAGTTCAGGAAGTGGGACCCCAAGGTTTTGACTGTCTTCTCTCCCTTGGCAGTGGGTGGTGGTCCTGGCTGATGTCCATGTTCTCTGAGGCATCCGTGGCTGCACAGGTCACTGGGATCATCCGATCCCTCCAAGGCTGGGACTTTGCCCTAAGTCCCTGGGGAGGTGCACAGATCCACAATCCTTGGCACAGCAGGGGAGATCATATGCCCAGCGGTGGCCGTGGGGCTGGGGTCGGTCCTGCACGGTGTGTGTGTCAGCTGCTCTCCCAGCTGAGCAGGAGTGCGTATCAGCTGAGCGCCGAAGTGTCGGGCTTTCTCAGTGACACCCTCTGGAAGGCGCAGACCCAAGTTGGAGTTGAAGCTGGACAAATACATGGCCAGAGAGGAGAAGGCAGTCCTTGCGTGTCGGCCACGTGCCTGGGACTTTGCACACATTTTCTCATTGGATGCTTGCGGGAGCCTTCGAGAGGGGAGCTGTTATGTTTCCCATTTTAACAGAAGAGAAAGCTGAGGCCCGTGGGCGGGGAAGGGGCGTTGCTGGGAGGTGGTAGAGCTGGCTTGTGAATCCAGCTGGCCTGGGCTGTAGCCCCTGCAGAGCCGGCAGGTCCCCAGGGACACTGTACCATCTCTGCAGCAACCTGGAGGTGTCAGGAGAGGGGTGACGCCTGCGTGCCTCCCTGGGTGCACCTGCGTTTCCTGGGGGAGACTCCGACCCCTTGCTGAGTGCCTGCTTTCCTTTCCAGAGAATCTGCTGGATGCTATGTGAGCTCTAGGTGTATGGACACAGTTGGGACACCACCTTGGCTTTGGACTTGGATCCCAAGTTCAGCTGAGTCCCTCACTGGGCACCCCTGGGGCAAGTCACTTCAGCTCTCTGGGCTTTGGCCTCAAAAGCATGCCTGTTTGCAAGGATCTTAGACCTACTGTGCCTGTGACCTTGAGAATAATCTAGCACGTCTCCCACTGAGGTTCAGCTCTGCTGAGAACCTGCTCAGGACGTCAGGAGGCTGGGATTACGCACACAGCCCTGGTCACACACGCAGTCCCCACATCGAGAGTGTTCTAGACCCATCTGATGATTTGCACTGGGCTGACACATTGCAGCCCCGGCGTGTACTTCCATGCTCCATTTCTGGGTCTTTCCCAGCCTTGGTGACTATCTTGTCTTCCCCACTCCAGACACCTGCCCGCGCCCCTCCGCTCACAGCACGGCAGCGTCAGAATCCAGGTGGAAACAGAGCTGTTCTGGTATCGCACGGCTAACTGGCTGCACCCTTAGCCTGAGTTACAGGGCTCCGGGGTGGATTTGGTGAAATGGAGTCAGAACCCTCCAATGGAAATCAAACCAAGACTCCTTCCTGCCTTGGTGGGTCCCGGTGCCCCAGCAGGATCCTGTCTTAAAACCTTTGCTCCTCTCCAGTAAGCCTGGGCAGATGGCAGCGCCGAGAGCCAACCAGGAAGGCGTTCCAGCCTGGGCGCCACCGGCAGGCTTCGGCGGGCGAAACTGCTGGCAGAGACTGCAAGGACAGCGCTATTTCAAGACCCGGGGCTTTCCCTCTTCAGTAAGGGTCTCCAGGGCTTCCTTAGGCTCAGGGGCAAAGGCAGCCGCAGCGGGAGGGCACCGGAGCAGGTGCAGTCCCCCAACCGGGGCCATGAGGCCGCCTCTAGCCTTCCCTGTGTCCACCACACGGCTCCCTCTCCCCATTTCCAGGGGACCCAAATCTCTCTACACCAGGACGCAGCATCCCACGGGCGCTCCCTCCTCCCTCCCCATCACACACGGAGGCTCCCACGCCAATGAGCTTCTGGTTACAAAAGAGCAGGCACAATGTTTCCCACCCCAGAGAACGAGGGGGCAGACGTGGGCTGGCCTGGGGTTACCCGGCGGGGGCTATTAATAAACCATCATGATAAGCACAATCCAGCCAGCTCAGCCCCGGGGCCACACGGATATGCTATGCATCTGGTGACTCCGAACGCAACGGAGCTCACCCACGCGGCACCACGACGCAAACTGAACACTTCCTGTGCCAGCCAGACCTGAAGCATGGACTTGAGGCAGGGGGTGTGGGAGGCTCCAGGGGGCCTGAATGGTCCTGTCCCCAGGTTATTCTAACAGTGAGAACTGCTGCTCTCTCTCTCTCTCTCTCTCTCTCTCTGTATGTGGGCAAGTGTGTGCGTACCTGTGCTAATCTTACTCATCTCAAGAAATGTTCCTGTACATCAGGGGTGGCCAGCTTCCTCCTGGGAAGACCCCTTGGTAAGCGATTTCAGTTTTGCAGGCTCTGTGGTCCCTGCTGGCATCAAAGAGGCAATATGCAAATGAGCAGGTGTGGCCGTGGCATAAAACTTTATTTACAAAATCAGGTATGCAGCGCACTGGTCACAGTTGATCAAGCCTTGTTATAAGAGCTTTGGACTCTCAAATGCTGGCCCCCGGGCCCCTTGCAGTGTGCACTTGTGTGTTTCATGTGTACCTCGGGATTCCTATACTTATGGGGTATTTTATAAAGTCCTCAAGAACAATCTCTCTTAGGGCTAGCCAGCATTCCACACGTATTCAAAATGGTCCTTTTCAAAGATCAGCTTCTCCATGCGAAAACAAGACAGAGCTGAGTTTTCAATTGGGCCAAGCCCACCCTGAGGTCATTCTCCCCCAGCCCTGGGGACGGGTAAGACTGGGTAGTCTGGGGAGGGCTTTGTGCCGGGGACATGTGTCCCAGCCCCCTCTCTTACAACTGGTGTGGTCCCGCCCGCCCAGCACTGGGGGAGACAGGGGAGTCATCGCTTGCACCTCCACCGCCTTAGAATCTGTGACCATGGAGTGGCTCATCCCCAGGCATGTGCTCGCTGAGCCATGCGGGGGCCGAGCACAGGGAAAGACAGAGTCACGCCCGCGGGGCCTGAGTCTGTTGTGCCGAGTTCCCCACCGTACATCCGGCACACATGCACCCTAGCACCTGTCGCCCCGTTCTGCATGCCCCCCGACACAGCCAGCGTCCCTGTCCCTCCCCAAGCCTCCAGCAGCCCCAAGCAGTCCCGACTGTACCTTCCACACTCTGTGGGTCTCAGCGCTTGGAGCTTTAGGCCTCTTCCCCAGGGACGAGAGAGGGAGAGAGAGAGAGAGAGAGAGAGAGAGAGAGAGAGAGAGAGAGAGAGAACCCGGTTCTTCCGGCAGCCGCCCGCTTCAGCCGTCCAAACTTCTTTTTCCCTCTTTGCCCCAAAGATGAGAGGGAGGTGCAGCTGAGCCCTGGAATGCCCTGTTTCTCACAAACCTGCCCAGCCCAGGGAAATCTGTGTCCCAGAGCCGGCCAGAGGCTGGAAGTCAGTGACGCTTTACCTAAATAGAGACTCAGCCGGAAAAACCAAGTGGTGTACTTGGTGGGGAAGAGGCAAACAGTCAGCCCTGGAACACCCGCGTGGTGTCAAATAACAGTCAGATTAAACAAACAGCCTCAGTGGCTATTTTTACATCCAGATCAGCCCCGGGTAATAGATAACTTGGGCGGTGAGAAATTGCTGGCCGATTAGCTGGGCCCTCACCACAGTTCCAAAGCCATTGCTAAAGCTATGCCTGCGCCTAGATTCAAATAAAAATACCCCAAGGTGAGAAAGCGAGCGTCTGCCTAGAGAGGCATTTAAAAAAAAAAAAAAAGCCAAACATGCTTATGTGTGTGTGTGTGCACGCTCGGGAGCCAGCGCCCGTCCCAGGCCTGCTGATGTCCTGGGGCAGAAATAGCCGGTTTCATCACCGCATTCCTCGAGGAAAGAGTACGCTGCCTGGGCTTTTGGTGCAAAATAACGTGCCCAGCTGTGGGAGGGGCGGGAAGGCCGGGCTGGGGTTAGGGAGGGAAGATGCAGAAGGCTATGGGATGCTAGCAAGCCCAGCCAGGTTCCAGTGCCGGTGGACAGGTCCCCTAGGCCAGGTGGGGGCTCCCCGCTTTATCTCCGGCAGGGGCTGACACCTCTTGCCCCTGAGATGGGCTCCCTTGGATTCCCAACGGCTGCTTTCTGTTCTGGGGTCACCTGTTCCCCAAACTGCCTGCAAACCCCAAGCATCTTTTTCTCCTCCCCTCGCCGGCCACAGTGCCTTTGCTCATGCCAGGCCAGCTCCTGGGGCATCTGCCTTCCTTGGCCTCCCTGAGCTGGCCCTGCTAGGGGTCCTTTACTGCTAGGAGTTAATGCAAGAACTTTTTCTCAGCCTCCCCTCCTGCCCCCGCCGGCCTGTGGCCTGAGAAGGCGGAGGCGACCAGCTCCAGCCAGTGCTCCAGGCCTCTGGATGCGTGTCTGTGGCATCCTGTGCCTTTGCATCTATTTGCAGCTGCCCCTCTCACCCCCGAGGCTTCCTCAAGGGCAGCAGCCTCTGCCCCAGCCCAAGGTGCAGCCCGGTACCAGCTTTGGCCTTGAACCTGCTGCTGGCCTAGGTCACGGAGACCCGGCTCTGTGCATTTTTGTGCCCATCAAGTCAGAAAGAACAGCTCCTCATTGCCTTATATACCGAGGTATCAGATCCCAGCCAGCAGGTGCACCCAGACCTCCCCTCCTGAGTGCCACAACACCTGTCTGTGGCCTTGGGGACCCCAGGCCCCGGCCGTGGGGACATCTGCTCACTGCTCTGCACTCAGGGAAAGTTCGAGGGAGGCCCAACAATGCTCACCTCCCTGGCTTCCCTCCCTCCCTAACCTAACCGGCCAACTTGGCAGATGAAAAACATGAACTTGAGATGCAGAGCAACCTTAAAAAGAGGACACCGATTAGGAGCCGTGGCGCCATTAGTTTCCAGTTATTTCTCATCAGCTAAATCACTTCACCTCTCTGCACCTCGGTCTACCCATCTCTGAAGTGGACAGGACGCCGCCTTGGCTGTGTGGCGCTAGGGATCAAAGGCCCTCACATACGCAAATACGCCAAGTGTCCCCAGTGTGAGTCATTTGTTTATGGGGCGGCTTCAAAGTGTTTGGAGAAAAATGGAATGGAGGATTAAGTTTATTTTTCGCGCAAAAAAATTTTGAAATCCACACATGGTTTTCTCATAAAACACAGTTGCCATGAACTTCTTAGACATCCCTCATATTGAAAGAAACACACCCTCGAACATCTATATCATCATTTACCTGTTGCTGTCCTTTATAGAAAAATCTAAACAGACTTCCCTCTGCTCTGAGCAGAGCTTTGTGGTGGAAAAATAACACCTAAGAAATCATGGGTTCCATATGTGAATTCCTCCCCCGCCCTTCTTACACCTAGAAATAAATTAGTAGTCGGTTCATACGTGATGGATATTCGACCCAAATCGTCTTGTTCCAGAGGTCAGGAAACATTGCATTGCTAAGTATCATTTCGTGGAGGTGGCGGTAACAGGAGCTGGAGGACCGAGGGAGCTGGCCCTAGACCTCCCCGCCCTCCGTACCTGCTGTCCGTCCTTTCTGTCTGTCTTCCCGTTCCTTGCAGGTGGACACCAGCCCTTTGCGTCTTGTTTACGGTCCTGGGAACTTGGTGGCAGGAGCCGATGGTGTCTGCGTGGAGTGGCTGATGGAGACAAATCCAGGACAGTGGCCAGGAGGCTGGACAGTGGCTGACAGCCTTGTCCTTGATGTCGGCAGGAGGGGTTGTGATAGGACAACGCGGATCACCCAGCAAGACCCTCAGACCGTGACCCGAGGTTCCCTGCCGCCCAGCCTGAGCCCAGCTGCCTGCCATAGGATCTCCTCGCTCCTGGAAAATGCTTCTAGTTGCCCCATGCCGTGGCCTCTCATGTCTTTGCTGGTTACGGTGGACGCACAGGCATGGCCACCCCCAGCGGAGAGCTCAGCCAGACAACCCGGCCCCGGCTTGCTCGCAGGGGCTGTGTGGCCTGGGGCAGGCAGATCTCCAGCGGCTGGCCCAGGCAAAGTGACCACGCTCTCCCAGAGCAGGAGCCGTGAGCCGCGTGGAAAGAATGTGAATGAAGACAATTCTAAATGTAGACTCCTGGATGCTATGTGAGCCAGCGTGCTCCCCGATGGCCCAGAAAAATAAGGCCCGCTTGTATGTCCCGCAAGAGCAGAAATAGAGCTGTCCTCAGACAGCGTGCTACAGGGGCCCCTGCCTGCAGCGGCTGCACAGGCGGCGACTCTCAGTGGGGGGCACCCCGGAGCACGGCGGCGGGGCGGCGCGGCTGCCTTTGGCGCGAGTAGAAGTGGCTCTGACATCCTCTCCATGCCCATGGTGATGGCTAACTTAATTTTGCAGCAAATTGCATCTGCTCTGCCTCTGTATTAATTAGAAACGATCACAAGCTGATAATGAGGGCAGTGCAGAGCGAGGCTTTCAGGCTCATTTTTGGTTCTGGATGCTTGAAGCTTGTGTCCCTCCAGATAACGCGAAAAAACTCCACAGAGTCTTCAACTCTCACCACCTGGCTACAGGTGACTTGTCCGGTGGCACTCTTTCTTCAAGATGTAGTTATGCATTTAAGAGGCAGAATGAGAGAGAGAGAGAGAGAGAGAGAGTCTGCCATTCACTGGTTCACTCCCCAAATGGCCACAGTAGCCAGGGTTGGGCCAGGCTTGAAGCCAGGAGCCTGGAACTCCATCCGGGCCTCACACGTGGGTGCAGGAGCCCAAGCACTTGGGCCATCTTCCGCTGCTTTCCCAGATGCATTAGCAGGGAGCGGGATCAGAAGTGAAGCAGCCAGGACTCGAACCAGCACTCCTCTGTGATGCTAGCGTTCCCAGACGGTGGCTTAACCCGCTGTGTCACAATGCTGGACTCTCAGCATTCTTGAGGAGTCACTTCCACAGATGCCATCAGGGACAGGTGCACCTCCAGACTTTGTAGTAAGAAGACAGAGGGAAATGCCGGCCAGCTAATAACAGAATGTTCCCGCCGTGCCCTGCCTGCCCCGTCTCTCAGCAGATGAACCACGCCGAGCCCAGAACCCTTGTGCTCTCTCCCAAGGATCTGTTATCTGCCAAGGTGTTGGGAAAGACACGGGTTGGGGAACCCACAGGTCCTGAACATTTGCTCCAAGGATACACCTAACCCTCGCCCCGCCCCGTGTGGTGGCCGTGAATACCTTGTCCTTATGAACGAGGGAGCTGAGGATTGCTGAGGTCCTAGGCTGCTATACAGCCAACGGCCCTGAGCATACACATGGGGTCTGTGTACCTGCCTGTCCTATGGATCATCCGGGTTACACCCCCTAGTAAACCACTCCTCCAGTCCAAGCCCAGCACATGGTTCTTCCTGCCTCTCCCTGGCCCAGCTGCAACACCCAGCCACCACACCCCCTTGGCTACCCATTTGTTATGGGAACTGTGGAGACTCTGTGCTCTGGTGTCAGGGCCACAGGGCAGGCGTGTCCCCAGGGCATATCCCCACAGCGGGGAGGGTGCTTCTGGGGCTCAGGCCCCGCTGGGCCACTCAGCTAAGCCCTCATTCAGAACCCTGGGCCCATACCAGGGTGGAGAGGTGACTGTTTGCTCATGCTGCTGTAAGCCGAGTTTGATTGGGGTGTGGAGAGCCCGGTTTGCAGCTCACAGTATACAGGGGTGGCCATTTGGCTTAGGGTTTATATTCTTCTCTTTTTCTTCTTCTGAGAAAGACACATACACACACACACACACACACACACACAGAGAGAGAGAGAGAGAGAGAGAGAGAGGGAGAGAGGGAGAGAGGGAAGAGAGAGAGAGGTGTCTCATCCACTGGTTCACTCCCCAAACATCCTCAGTACCCACGATGTGCTGGGCCAAAGCTAGGAGCCCAGAACTCAACCCAGATCTCTCACATGGGAGAGAGATCAACTGCTTGAGCCATCACCTGCCGCCTCTCAGGGTCTGCGTTGGCAGGAAGCTGGTGTCGGGAGCCGGAGCTGTGCTAGGGGATGCACCATCTAACCTCATTCCAGCAGGCTGAATGCCTGCCCCGTGCTACCTTTGCATTCCACTCCCCACAAACTCCCTGAACTGCCCCGGCTCCACCAGCCACTTGCCAGGTTTGCTGTTTTGTGCACAGGGAGAGTTGGTGTTCTCACAACCTCCTGGGGGGGGGGGGCGCCGTGGAGGGGGGCACTCTGAGCTGCATTTCCAGAGGCAGACCGAGGTAGCCTTCTGCAAGTCCTGCTTCCTCCTCCCGGGTCAAGGGTCACTCAGACAGCCCTGCGTGTGGGAGGAGAAGGATCCCGGGGAAGGGCTGGGGAGCAAAGCTCTCTCCCTGCTCTGGACCCTTGGCTGCACCTGCCCTCTTTCCGATAGCAGCCGCAGGACAATGGCCGCTATGTATCCCGCACCCACATCTCTGGGGCAGAAGTAGCAGGGTTGTGTCAACCTCAGAGGGGGACTGAGGGAAGATTCTCAGGCCCCAGCCACTCCAGCTTCCTTGCTCTACTTGCAGCTTTCTCCTGTCTCAGGGCCTCTGCACCTGCTGATCCTCCGCTTGCCTCTCTGTGTGCCCTTGACCTTGACCGGGCTGCTTCCTTCTCTCCATTCAGACCTCAGCTCAATGGTCCCTTTTCTCAGGGAGGGCTTTTCATCTGGAGACCCTGGCCCCTGGATCAATCAGCCAGGCTGTTTCTGTCCCTGTTGGCGCTGTCCATGAGCGGAAACCACCCTGATTCTTTGTGGGGATGTGTGTGCTCTGTCTACATTGCCTCCTCCGC